TAATGCATTCCAAGTTAGCAAGGTAAGGGGGTCATATATACTTGACTCAGAATAAGTATGGTAAACAATGGATTAATTCTTATCCTGAATGAAGCAGTTGTTACACACTGTAATTTGACATTCCTGGGTCTCTATTTTTGACTGAACTGACGTGAACACTGAGGAATAAATTCATTGAAATGGCCTATATCTGCATTTCGTGTCTCAGTGTTAGTCACAAAATCAATGTGTTTCATGTTTTACCATGAATGATGACGTTGTTCACACAACAATTTGAAATTACTCAGCCTCTCTGTTAATGATTAAACTGAAGTGAACATTCAGAAATAAATTCATTGATATGTTCTATATTTGACATCATTAATCATCAGGGTCAGTTTTACTTTAAATATCAATGCTTTAAAATAAATTTGTAACAAAGTTTTGGGCATCAAAATTTCATAATTCAATATATATACATGTATATACAGACAGACAGACAGACACACACACACACACACACACAGCATGTCTCAGTGGTTAATGTGCACATAATCAATGTCTGAATGTTCAACAGAACTGCCTGAATGAGCCACTGCAGTGCATCTCTGGGCAAGTTATTCTTTGCAGTTTGCCAGGTGATAGGAAAACTGTGTTGATATGCTGTTAACCACCAATTAATGAATCCTAATTAGGGCACTATACTATCAAAAGTACTAACTAATACTAAAGACTGTAGTGGCAACTGGATCAGAAAGAATAGAGCTAAAAGCAAAATGTAAATACAATAATTGCAGGGTGGCAAATAGGTCACTGCAACCAGCAATGCATATTACTTCACATGATAACTGTATCTAAAAGTTTTCAGAGTCAGCAATGAGCTACATACAAGAACTTGGTGATAATGCCAGGAAAAGTAATAACAAACGCAACAACAACTAGATGAAAATCAATGCCATGTCATTGTATTATACCCTTGGAACTGGCGTCATATAGATTCAGCATTGTAATAAATTCCTAAAATCTGCCATGTCTCCTGCCTCTTTTCCACTTTTCAAGATTAAAATTCATTCCAGAGTAAAGTAATATCAAAGACCTTTGATTTAACAGCCATGATGACAAGTTTATTTCAAGGTCCATGGGGTTATAATAAATTTTACATACATGACATGACTTAAGGTGTTTAAGAACATATTATTTGTGTTTAATGTACCAAAGGAAAATGAATGACATAATTTTTAAATAGAGAAAAAACAGAGTAGACATTCTTTTACCTCACAACCCTATCTGGAGACCCTAGACAGGAGTTCTGGATGGAAAGTGGCTCAAGTGAACTTAAAATAAGTTACAGTCAACCTACATCCCAAAGAAAAGTGTCTGGCTGAGTTGTGGATACTATTATAGGAAAAAATATGCTTCTATGTTTCAAGGTTCTTTAACTCCCATCTAATGATATCCTAGTTTTTAGTTTTTGACAATTCCTAAACTCCAGCAAAAACCAAGACAATTACAGCAAAGTTTGTTCCTCATTTCTTATTTCCATTTTATTGGCTCAAAACATTGGCTAAGATAAACTGTTGAGTCTTCAAGTTGACCTGTCTTCTAATAGCATGTCTTAAAGCATCCCATTGCTGTGTATACTCAAGGTAATATATTTGGAAGGTAATACATGTTACATGGTGCCCTTCATTAATAAAGTATTTAAGAATCAATTAATCTGAAGAGGCAAACAAAATGGAATTTTGCGTAGAACAATGAGACAATATTCTGAGCTCAAAATATTTACTGCATCCTTAGTGTAGAGATAATTTCTGTAATGTTGAGCCCAAATGCAGACAACACAAAACATCATCCACTCTCACATAATGCGCCAGCAGACCAGGGCCTATACTGTTTGTTCTAATGATTGCTCCTAAAATAATTACAAAATACCACATATGTACTTACACTCGGACATGCCTTTTAAGTAAGCAAATATAGTAGATCTAAGTGTTTCCATGAAATAGACTTAAAGTTAAATCTGATGCAAAAATGCATAACAAGGGACCCACAATCTCCGTATGTGTCATGAGTTCAAGTGGTGTCAACCCTTTTAAATTACCACACATAACCACCTTTGTGTTACCATTTATTGACAATGTCACCTACCACAGAAGATTAGCCAATGCAACAAGTTGTAAAGTAAAGTGAGCAAGGATCTGTAACACTTGAAAAACTATGTAACACAAACGGAGAAACAGCTAAAACTTAAATGTACATAGTTATGATAGGTCATGGTAAACACAAGTTGCAGTTACAACATCTGTTTTACTAATGTACAAAAAAAGGAATCCTTTTTAGTTTAGGTCACTCTGTATTTCTTACAGTGTAATTATGACTGTTTCAAAATATTGTAATCAATGTGTGATGCATATTTAAAAGAGTGTGACCATTACATATTTCAGTGTGATCTTTATGCATTTCATTGTGACCATTATGTATATCAGTGAGATCATTATGTATTTCAGTTTAATCATTATGTATATATCATATAGTGACCATTTTGTATTTAAGTCAATACTCTGATCATTATGTATTTCAAATGTGGCTTGTTTGGAATCTGTTGTAGTCCAGTTGGTACAGCATTAGACATGTAAGTCAAAGATCATAAGTTTGATACCCACCAGAGCTGAGGAAAGGACACTTACAGTGTACTGTTGATCTAGTCATTTTAAAATTTTAAATAATTGAACATTTTTAAAATTCAAACTCCTATTTAGTACAACTGGATATTATGATCACAATGGAAATTTGGACACTTCTGATTTGTTTTAAATCAGCAAGGTAATCCTGTGCTTGATGTGATATTGTAATTTAATAAAACTGCATGTCAAGCGAGGTGACCCATACTTTGAAAACTGCTCTATTGTTTTTTTTTTCTAATTCCTGATTTCTTTTACACTGAAATAATTTGGAAACAACATTTTAAGTGGATCAAAAATGTTACCATAAGTAGATCCTATTAATTTATATTGTTGCTATTATGAAATGGTCGAATTAAGGAAGTGGCCAAATGGAGAGATTTTACTCTCTAATCATACATCATTCCAAGCTATGAATGTCCATCACGATGACATCATTAATCATCAGGGTCAGTTTTACTTTATATATCAGTGCTTTAAAATAAATTTGTAACAAAGTTTTGGGCAGTGAAATTTCACAATTCAATCTGACAAAGGGTGGGTTAGTTGAGTATTTATATATTAAACTCAAAGGGACATAAAAGGTATGCAATATTAGGTTCCTGCATTTGCTGAAAGTTCAACAAAAGTTAACATAGTAAAACAAACATTAAGTGAACACTTGTATAAAGTTGTAATAACCCAATTATGCAAAAAAAGCATCTCAAACTAAGAGCTGGGTCAGATGAACTGTGTCATGCCAGATGTTTTAGTGCTTTGCTAAATCAATATAACTTGAGACAAATATACCAATAGGAAATGTAATAAATATGAAATGTGGTGGTACTGTTATACTCACTTGCATATTCAGTCTAACTGCATGCAATAAAGACCCAGATCTGCCTTTGCAAAATGTGCTGGCAGATCAGAGTCTGTGTTGTTTGTTCTTCTGAATATCTCCAACAAGCCACACCGACCCAGATCTGCCTACACATTAAGCAATGTCAGATCTGGGTCTGTGCGGTTTTCCATTTGGATCCAACTTATAAGCTGGTATAAATGGTAAGTTCAAGACAGGATTTAAAATTGCTGACACAGCAAACAAAAGTCCCCCCCAAAAGCTGACATTTTACTGGGTTGAAAAGAATTTTCAAGAATTCTAGATAAGACCATTTTTTTTTCATTTTAACTGTCAAGTACTGCAACCATATCTGATATTCTTCAGTCATAACAAGATTTTCAAATTAGCAGTTATTTTTAAGACAATCATCACAGCAGCAATACTGAATGCACAACTGGCACTATTTTCATTTCAAACTAACTACAGTGGTATATATCATAAGAAGTCTATTGCTGAAAACTCTATTATGATATAAGATATCTATTTGGAGTGGAGTAAAGATAAAAATATTTTCAAGATATGTCTTTCCATTCAGGAGGAGCAAAATTGAAATTTCCAAATTAGCTTTTGTGGCAGACATGCTGGAGGTCAGATTTTTGTTTAAGACCAACTGGACATTGTGAGAATGTTTGGAGAAAATTCCACATCAATATGACTTTTTATTCAGGTAGAATTCACAAGACTTTTAAGATGGATGCCAAGTTGGACATGTTAGAGTCAGATTGGCATTATTTTTAAGATGGATGCCAGGTTGGACATGTTAGAGACAGATTGGCATTTTTTAAATTTAGGAACCGCTAGACATGATAAGAAGTCTTTTTATAAAACTTCATGCTGAAATAATCATATATTCTGGAGAAGTAGCAATAACATTTTAAAGATGGTTGCCATAGTGGCCATATTGCAGATCACAAATTGATACCATTTTCCACTTAGCAACTAACCAGGCATCCTAAGAAGTCTTTTAGTGAAAAACCTATGTTAATATGACTATCCATTCAGTAGAAATAATGATGACAAGAATTTTGAGAAGGTTGCTAGAATGGCTATATTTTCATTTAGAAACAACAGGACATCATAGTCTTTTAATGAGAACCCAATTTGATATAACCCTCGAATTGGGTGGAGTGGCAATAAGATTTTCAAGATGGTCAAAGCAGTAGCCATACTCGATGTCTGAGCAATACCATAGTTATATAGGACCAACTAGACAATGGGACAAATGTGTGTGTCTTAAGCCTCCAGGTAATCCTCCAGGTAGATAAGGGGTAGTGATAAGAAATTATTCTAATAGATCAATGGACAGAGAGTGGACAGCAGACAGACCAATCCATAAACTCCTCTGGTGTGTGTCCATGTCTGCAGTGTGACCCCACCCAGTCACATTATCCTGACACCAGACCAACCAGTCCTAACACTAACCTCTTAATGCTGAGCACCAAGCGAGGCAGCTCTGTTAGTACTCAGACGGGGTTCAAACCCACGACCTCCCACATCAGAGGTGGACACTCTAAGCTCTAGGCCACCGGAGCGGCCTATGACCAGAATAGGTAAAAACCTAGAATATGATGATTGCTGGAAAGATAAATAATATTTTAAGAGGACAAAATGAATTATTTAAATTACACTATTGTATAAATACATTGTACCAAGATGAAGCTTATGCCAGCATTTTTATCAAAATTCAGTATTCAAGTTTGAAAACATATTGTACAAACTTTCAATTTCAGTATTTTCCAATAAAATGATTAATCATTGAATTAAATTAGTAATATATGCGTATCATGTCAAAAATTCATCTTTCATCTATACTTTATACCTGGAGTGTACATATTCATCATTTAATTTGTCTGTCTTTCATCTGTACTTCATATCTGGAGTGTATATATTCACCAATTAATTTGTTTGGATGGTCAATGACCATACAAGAGTCTACATTAAAACTTTATTTGACCTAATACATAACTAATGAGGATTTGTGAATGGGTTATTGAAATATGCTGTATGATATGTATGGAAGGTAATTACCATTTAATATGGACAGCAGTCTTGGAGGTTCTTGTAATTAAATTCAATTCCCAAAAAGGAAACTTGCATTAACAATGTTCTTGATTATGATGGCCATCGTAGTTTTGCTCAAATTCTTTTTATCCAGGGTTCATTTGGTCATGATAGGCATCAACAGTGATATTTTTGGAGGTGGGGTGCGGGTGGTGGAGGCATGCTATAATCAAAGGAGAGCTTTGACCCCCACCCCCAAAGGACATTCATGCCCCTTTACAGTGTATTTTGTTTAGTTTCATGACTTGTTTAGTTCAACTTAATGACTTGATTGTAAATTAAACTAATAAAATTCTTGTCAAATATGTGTTATCATGTTTCTGGAAAATTTAAAACTGTCCATATTCATTGGAGCATTTCTGTTGTAAAATCTTCAAAAGTGTGAAGTTTTGCACTTTGTCAAGCTCTTTAAATTTGGAGGCAAACTCTTTGCATGTAGCCTGCAATCCCATAATGCCTAAAAAGTGACTAGTTTTGAAAAACATCTGAACTTATGAAGTTTGCTATGCTTATTAAATACCAACATGGTTAATGCAAACAAAATGTGCAAATAGCACCTATTATTTTGAACTGGTCCTGTGGCCTAGTGGTTTAAGAGTGTCTGCCTCGAATGCAGGAGGTCAGCATTATTAAGAGGTTAGTGTTAGGACTGGTTGGCCTGGTGTCAGGATAATGTGACTGGGTGGGACATCATGCTACATGTCTTCTGCATGATGCCCCTGTGCTTAACATCACTATAAACTGTCACTCTGCAGACATCATAGGATATGACTGAAAAAAATTGTTAAAGCTTTTTTAAAAAATCATAATCACATCACATCACCTGTTATTTTGGCTCCAAGCCATCTGAATGCATCTTTCAAAACATCAGAGTCCTAATGATGTGTTGAGGGCACCTTTGGCACAAATAAAGAGAATAATGATTCCTAATTAAATATTCATGGAATAACAGGAAAGCATTACTTGCTGTATCTTAGAATTTTTGCCAAAATCATGCATCACTAGTTACTACCCTTGGAGTTTCTTCAGATATAGATTAGGCCAAAATTCTTAATGAAACTTTTTTTCATACAAAACTGTATAAGGGAACATGCATGATGCAAATTGTATTGGGAAAATTGTTTCTACACCAGTCATTGATCATAACTGAAAATGGAACCCAATATTAGACCCTAGGTTGGTGGGTTGAGGGCGTATTACACATAAAGCATATGCTGTTGACAAGAACTTTGTGACACTGAACAAGTTGGGTACACAAGAATTTATGCCTGAAGATAAACCTGATTATCTTTTAAAAATAAAGGTTGCAACCTCACTGGAAAACTAATATTCTGTTTCACCAAACCTTGCATAACTTATGGGATGCAAAAAGATATTGCATAGGTCAATTATTACAAACCTTGCATAATTTATGGGATGCAAAAAGATATAGCATAGGTCAATTATTACAAAACTTGCATAACTTATGGGATGCAAAAAGATATAGCATAGGTCAATTATTACAAACCTTGCATAACTTATGGGATGCTAAAAGATATAGCATAGGTCAATTATTACAAACCTTGCATAACTTATGGGATGCAAAAAGATATAGCATAGGTCATTTATTACAAACCTTGCATAACTTATGGGATGCTAAAAGATATAGCATAGGTTAATTATTACAAACCTTGCATAACTTATGGGATGCAAAAAGATATAGCATAGGTCAATTATTACAAACCTTGCATAACTTATGGGATGCTAAAAGATATAGCATAGGTCAATTATTACAAACCTTGCATAACTTATGGGATGCGAAAAGATATAGCATAGGTCAATTATTACAAACCTTGCATAACTTATGGGATGCTAAAAGATATAGCATAGGTCAATTATTACAAACCTTGCATAACTTATGGGATGCAAAAAGATATAGCATAGGTCAATTATTACAAACCTTGCATAACTTATGGAATGCAAAAAGATATAGCATAGGTCAATTATTACAAACCTTGCATAACTTATGGGATGCAAAAAGATATAGCATAGGTCAATTATTACAAACCTTGCATAACTTATGGGATGCTAAAAGATATAGCATAGGTCAATTATTACAAACCTTGCATAACTTATGGGATGCTAAAATATATAGCATAGGTCAATTATTACAAACCTTGTATAACTTATGGGATGCTAAAAGATATAGCATAGGTCAATTATTACAAACCTTGCATAACTTATGGGATGCTAAAAGATATAGCATAGGTCAATTATTACAAACCTTGCATAACTTATGGGATGCAAAAAGATATAGCATAGGTCAATTATTACAAACCTTGCATAACTTATGGGATGCAAAAAGATATAGCATAGGTCAATTATTACAAACCTTGCATAACTTATGGGATGCAAAAAGATATAGCATAGGTCAATTATTACAAACCTTGCATAACTTATGGGATGCAAAAAGATATAGCATAGGTCAATTATTACAAACCTTGCATAACTTATGGGATGCAAAAAGATATAGCATAGGTCAATTATTACAAACCTTGCATAACTTATGGGATGCAAAAAGATATAGCATAGGTCAATTATTACAAACCTTGCATAACTTATGGGATGCAAAAAGATATAGCATAGGTCAATTATTACAAACCTTGCATAACTTATGGGATGCTAAAAGATATAGCATAGGTCAATTATTACAAACCTTGCATAACTTATGGGATGCAAAAAGATATAGCATAGGTCAATTATTACAAACCTTGCATAACTTATGGGATGCTAAAAGATATAGCATAGGTCAATTATTACAAGCCTTGCATAACTTATGGGATGCAAAAAGATATAGCATAGGTCAATTATTACAAACCTTGCATAACTTATGGGATGCTAAAAGATATAGCATAGGTCAATTATTACAAACCTTGCATAACTTATGGGATGCTAAAAGATATAGCATAGGTCAATTATTACAAACCTTGCATAACTTATGGGATGCTAAAAGATATAGCATAGGTCAATTATTACAAACCTTGCATAACTTATGGGATGCAAAAAGATATAGCATAGGTCAATTATTACAAACCTTGCATAACTTATGGGATGCTAAAAGATATAGCATAGGTCAATTATTACAAACCTTGCATAACTTATGGGATGCAAAAAGATATAGCATAGGTCAATTATTACAAGCCTTGCATAACTTATGGGATGCTAAAAGATATAGCATAGGTCAATTATTACAAACCTTGCATAACTTATGGGATGCTAAAAGATATAGCATAGGTCAATTATTACAAACCTTGCATAACTTATGGGATGCTAAAAGATATAGCATAGGTCAATTATTACAAACCTTGCATAACTTATGGGATGCAAAAAGATATAGCATAGGTCAATTGGTGCACAAGTTCATAGTGATGATCAATTTTATTTTAGCAGATAAGAAAGTTTTGTAGATTTTTTTATGAGTTCTAGGATTTCCTAGCATTTTGAAAAGCCATGAAAGACATTTATCAGACTCTGGCTAGTATCATGTTTATTTTATAATGGACTGAGTTTTGAAAAGTCATGAAAAACATTTATCAGACTCTGGCTAGTATAATGTTTATTTTATAATGGACTGAGTTTTCAGTGTGTGTCCTTCATACAGATATTTGTTATGCACTGGTCAGACCTGCAACCAAAATGGAAGATGATGCTCTGTTTGCAAAAGCTAAATATCTGCCTCACCCTTACTTAATGACTTTTAAATGAGCTAACATAGCACAGCTACAGATTAACAACCATCACCTTTATATCTAACATCTATGTTTCATGATGTCAAGGTTGAGCATGTTCTTGGGGCTCATGGGGTTGCAGAGCAGTCATTTAGATCTGTACTACTAGTAATGCCCTATTGGCCTTGAGTGACACTGTGAGAGATGTACTTTGGTTCCTGCTGGACACTCACCATACTTCTATCTAGTATTGAGATAGTTCAGATCATCAAGATGAAGCATGTTGTTGGAGCTTATAGGGCTGCAAATTTCATTTAGAGCAGCAGGGCTAGTATTGCCCTCTTTTCTTCTAGGGTTGTAGTAGGCATTTCAAGCAGAAGGGCTAGTATTGCCCTCTTCTCTTCTAGGGTTGCAGTAGGCATTTCAAGCAGCAGGGCTAGTATTGCCCTCTTCTCTTCTAGGGTTGCAGTAGGCATTTCAAGCAGAAGGGCTAGTATTGCCCTCTTCTCTTCTAGGGTTGCAGTAGGCATTTCAAGCAGCAGGGCTAGTATTGCCCTCTTCTCTTCTAGGGTTGCAGTAGGCATTTCAAGCAGAAGGGCTAGTATTGCCCTCTTCTCTTCTAGGGTTGCAGTAGGCATTTCAAGCAGAAGGGCTAGTATTGCCCTCTTCTCTTCTAGGGTTGCAGTAGGCATTTCAAGCAGAAGGGCTAGTATTGCCTTCTTCTCTTCTAGGGTTGCAGTAGGCATTTCAAGCAGAAGGGCTAG